TGTTCCTGAAGTTTGTGATGCCATCATGGAAAATTTAAAGGATTATGTTAAGGTTAGTGAAAAAAAAAATATCTTATCATTTTAGTCCAATCACTTTAATTATGACCTTAACAGTAACTGCACACAAATAACAAAAAAAAAACTCAAATTAATTTCAACGACGGAGGCCTTTTTTTGCTTCGTTTTCTGGATTTCTGGTCTTGTGAACTCTAGATTGTGTGTTATTAGTGTCATCTTGTTGTTGTTGTTGCTGATTTTCCATATCTTGAATATTGTCTTTGTCAGGTGAAGGGTCTTAAGTGAGTTAGGTTACGCTTACTGTTTCATCGTTAGTATCAGTATCATTCTGTAAAATAAAATTAACTTTTTTTATGTTATTTTTATGTGCCAGCTACAAAAAAAGAGTCTCTCGCAATTTCAAACGGTTTAAAAATAAATGGAATTCCCCACATGAAGCGATGGATGGTAAACATGTTGTTTTACAGTCTCCCATAAACAGTGGCAATGACTATGGTAATTATAAATCATTTTCTAGTATAGTTTTGTTCGCCTTAGTAGATATAAATTACAAGTGTTTATATGTAAATGTTAAGAGTGAAAGATTTCTGATGGAGGTGTATTTAAAAATACAAAATTATAGCAAACACTTGAAAAAAAGAGAACATCCCATCACCCACAATTTCGCAAATATCGTATTCTACCAAAGTCCCATTTTCTATATAAAGTGACAAAACTTTTCAGCTGAATGAATACACCATGAGGCATTACGAAGGCAATCCAGAAAGAGGTTCAAAGGAAATAATTTTTAATTATAGACTCTCCAGAGCACGTAGAGTTGTAGAAAACGCTTTCGGAGTGAAGTTCTGTTTATAGAGTTTTGCGTAAACCAATTTTAATGCAACCAGAAAAAGCAACAAAAGTTGTCTTAGTATTAATTCATTTCTATAACTATTTATGGAGAACATCTTCTAATAGCTTCGTAGCTCCTGGCTTTTTGATGCGGTGGGAAATGACGTTATAATGCGAGAAGAAAGTTGGCGAAATGAATCAGAACCAACATCATTATTACCAATTCAACAAATACTACGACGGGGAGCAAATAATGCTAAAGAGATATGTGACCAACTAGTAAGACATCTTATTATGAATGGAACTGACTCATGGCAAGATAACTATCAATAAGAAATATTATATGTACTTACATTTTCCATAGTATCTCGCGTGGCTTCTGGCTCGTACATAAATGCAAAGGCATTATATGCAAACCAGATGGATTTATAAACGTCATGACGCCCTGGAAGGTGAAAGTGAAAAGTTTTGATAATAATAGTTCTTGGTATTAAATGTGAAAACTACTAATAAATATATATCTTACCTGATCCTGTCAAAGGACTTTCCTCGTGATTTTTCCCGCCGGTAGGATTCCATCTATAACTGCATCTTCTTTTTTAAATCAGGAACCAGCATATTCATCTCGCGGCTAATATTTAACTAGGCATCTTCTCTAAGCCCTCCATTTGCAATTAGGATCACTTGCATTTCATAGCCAGTGTTTATACCATATAGAGATGTTAATTTCAAATACTGATTTTTATCCATAATTATTATGCTTGAGCTAGACACGAAACAAAATACACGTGCTTCCAGAGCGCGCGCGGCATACGACAAAGGCGCCTTTGAGCAGAACAAAAAGCCGACACTCGGTTGCTCGGCCGCTCTGTCGCTCGGCCGCGGCGGTACGCACACTTTCCTTGGCCGGGACAATAACTCAAAAACTATTGGTCAAACCTTGATCAAATTGAACCACATGTGAAGCACCAGCTTTCAAATAAGAAAATAATCATCGAAATCGGTTCACCCAGTAGAAAGTTATGTATTATATACATAAAAAACATACAGTCGAATTGAGTACCGACTCCTTTTTGAAGTCGGTAGAAAAGCCATCTCACCATGAAAGGCCCCGAAGTGAATTAAAATATTGTTGAATTTCGAGAATTCTTGAGCCTGAATGCGATAACTTATTCTAGCAACAGCTAAATCATAAGTGACCTGTATACATGGAGCTTGACATTCGTCAGCAATATCCTGACTCATTTCTAGAGTTTCAAGACAGTAGGGTTATTCGTAGGAGAATCGTTTATCGGTGTCAGATAAAGCATTATTTGGACTGGTGAATTATCAATTGATATCTTACTGTAATATCCTACCCATATTGGAACATTTGGTATTTTGCGAAACAGAAACTTCCATTCTGTTGCACTTTCGTGTTGTTTTGACTTTTGAAAACCAGCAGGTACTTTGATCAATGTAAATAACTTATAACAGAGCGCTTGATAGCCTTGATTGATTGATGTTTCTTCCATAATTTCAATATTATCGTATGTTGTAGAAGATTTCCTAACAACCGGTTTGCTGCGACGATATTCCAAAGACGACTTACATGTTTTTATAGTTTCTGACGTAAAGTTTAATAGCTTTTTGAGACATTCCTTGTTCACAAAAACATATACTTCATATTTCTATCAGTCTTCGTAATAAACTTACAAAATTTTATTCACAGAACTAACTTAAAAGCCAGATCGTTGTACATATAATAACATGAACGCGTTGTTTTGTGATCAGCTGTGATGGCGTCATGGCGATGGACAGCAGTGTGGAGATGGGGCGAGAGAGACCAGAGATAGGGAAAAAGTGAAAGGGAGAGAGAGACGCCGAGTGGGGCATGCTTTACTCCAGCTGCACGCTCTCATGTTCATACAGGCTGGCCAAAATGAGACCTAGTGATGTTAAACAAGTGTAACTCTTGTAATAACGGTTTTTTTTAAATGATTTATTTTTATATGTTAAATACATTTTATGGAAATTTAACGTGACTATGTGTGAAATATGACATCAGACAAATGACCACCATTTTGCTCGATACAGGTATTGGCTCTTTTTAGCGCATTTTGCATTACACGGCGTAATGTTTCTGGTTGTAGGCGCCGTATTTCGTCTCGAATATTCTGCTTGAGCTCTCCAAGTTAACAAACAATGTTAACAAACCACAGACGGTTTGTTAACATACACTTTGTCTTTTAAATATCCCCATAAAAAAATTGGGCGCAGTTAAATCTGGTGAACGAGGAGGCCAAGGGAAATCTGAATTTCTTGAAATTATGCGTTCACCAAAAATTTCACGCAACATGTCCATAGTTTGCCTAGCAGTATGCGCAGTGGCTCCATCTTTTTGAAACCACAAATTAGGATGTTGCTCCACCATTGTCCGCAAAAAGTTGTCGATCATTGTTCTGTAAGAAGCCCCGGAGACTGTTTCTGGCGTTTCATCCTCATTCTCAAAGAAATATGGGCCGATGATTCTTGTGGCCATAACATCGCACCAAACAGTGCATCCTGATTGGGTGTGACTAATGCTGATGTACATTCTGTGTACTAAATATCGGGAATTTGTCAATAAAACAAAAAATACAAATTATTCATCTAAATTTATTTTATCGCCTTCAAAGTAGGCCCCATCGCTTGCAATACAACATCTCCAACGCTTCACCCAGTCTTCCATACATTTTTCATAGGCTATTTGCGGTATGGCCTTTAGCTCATTCAGCGAATTTTTTTTTATGGCTTCTATCGACTCAAAACGTTTTCCTCGAAGTGGTAATTTTAACTTGGGAAATAAAAAAAAGTCAGACGGAGCCATATCAGGTGAATACGGTGCTTGGTCGAGAACTTTTGTTGAATTTTTCGCTAAAAACTCTTTCACTATAATGGCTGTGTGTGATGGTGCATTATCATGGTGCAGCATCCATGAGTTGTGTTGCCACAAATCTGGACGTTTTCGGCGGATAATCTCACGCAAATGCTTCATGACGCCTAAATAACATTCTTTATTCACTGTTTCTCCCTTTGGAAGGAATTCCGAGTGAACCACACCACGGTAGTCAAAAAAAAACTGTCAGCATCACCTTGATTTTGGAGCGACTTTGCCGCGGTTTTTTGGGTTTCGGCTCGTTTTCGAGACGCCATTCTGAAGACTGTTGGCTTGTTTGCATGTCGTACTCATAAACCTATGTCTCGTCGCCAGTTATTATACGTTTCATAAAGGTCGGATCCGTAGAAGCTCGGGAAACCATGTCTTCAGCGACATGCTTTCGCTGCGCTCTTTGAACAAAATTGAGCTCTTTTGGAACTAGTCGAGCGGCGACGCGTTTCATGCCTAAAATGTCAATGAGAATGTTGTGGACGGACTAAAAAGATATGTTCACCTCACTAGCCAACTCTCTCAGACTCATACGTCGATTTCCGAGCACTAGCTTGTTGATTTTGTCGATGTTTTCTTTGGTCGTAGCGGTTGAAGGTCTACCAGAACGAGGCAAGTCTACTACTACTTCTCGGCCTTCTTTAAAAGCCTTATACCATTCATAAGCCCTTGTTTTCGATACACACGATTCGCCGTAGGTATTTCGCAACATTTTTAGTGATTCACCACATGAAATATCATTCGAAACACAAAATTTAAGGCACACTCTTTGTTCAACAATATTTTCCATTGTAAAAATCGCCGAGAACTCAAAAGTATGACCAACAAAAAGTGTAGTTTAAAACAAATTAAATGACAGATCCCGCTCAAACTTTGTGCGCTAAATCAGTACAGTGCTACCAACATGCAGTAAAAAAATTAGAACGACCTCTTTTACGCGGGTCTTTTTATTGACATATTCCCGATACTTTTTACACAGAGTTGTGTTGCCCTTGGATTTTCGGAGCCCCACAACCTACAGTTTTGCTTATTCACATAACCACTTAAATGGAAATGCACTTCATCCGTAATCAAAAGATTATTTAAAAAATCATTCAATCATTGTTGGGGGTCTTGCGGTAGAAGCTGTTGCACAATTTGAACTTTGTATGGATACATCTTAAGATCCAACTTTAAAATTCTCTGCTATGTTGTTCTGGGTATACCCAATTGGCCGGAACGGCGACGAGTTGAGACATATGGATCATTTGCAACACTGCTGTATAGCTTCCACGTTGTCTACAGTACGAATATTTCGATGAGCACCCCTTCCTGGACGGTCGGCAACTGAACCCAGTTCCTCAAAACGGCGAACTAAACTTGCAATCATGGAAGATGTGGGCGCTGATCTTACGTTAAAAAAACGGCGATAATTTCGCTGCGTCAGAACAATTGATCGTTGAGAAGAATAATAAAAATCGATAATTTTAATGCGTTGTTGTGGACTGTACGTATTCATTTTAAATTTCCAAAAGTTCAGTTATAATCTACAAAAAGAAAAAATAAATTATGTTAAAAAATAAAAAAGTTATTTGTGTTTCACATAAGCTGGTCTTATTTGGGCCACCCGTTAGATGATTTTTAGTATTTCGGCTTGTGGAAATCAACAGATTATGTTCTTTGTTATTTATGCATTATTTCCTTTTCCTTTTTTGCAACTTTGTAACCCTCCCACTCTCTTACGTTACGTTTAAAAATAAACCACAATCATTTATTTGTGTGGCACATATTACACACGAAACCTTTACTAGTCTCGCCGGTAGTAGATTTTTCATGAGCCCAGAATTTACAAATGGCGCACATGACGGTACTCAATTCGACTGTATATTTTTTATGCGTGTTAACTCATAATTTTTTTATTTGAAAGCTGGTACTTCTCGTGTAGTCCCATATGAATTTGATCAAGGTCAGACCAATAGTTTTTGAGTTATTTTTAATAACTTATATTGAAGTCGGCTGTACAAAATTTTTAATTTTAAATTATTTAGCTTTCCATTCACTTTGTCTTTTCAGTTGAATTTTTATTGGTGTGCGGAATAAAATCTGAAAATGCTTCTTATTCTGTCGCTTGGAAGTGGTTCCTGTTTGAAGAATAACTGGCACATTGATAAATCCGGTTAGAGACACAGGAATGAAAGGAGGAGGAGTATTAATGGTAACGCTCAAATCGTTGTCATTTTCATGAATATAAGTAGCATCCTGTGTTGGTGTTTGACTCTCGCTGACAATGTTAACGGACTCGTTCAATTTTTCCTCAGCTGCAGTTTCATGAAGTTGCACTTTTGAGTCGAATTGGTGTGAGGTTAGTCAAATACCATATTTTCAAAGTTGATTTAAATATATCAGGATCAATAGGATGAATTCCAGGGGTTCTAATTCACTGAAATCCTTGCTTAAATAAATCCACTGAAAGTCTTGCCTATGTTAGCTGTTTTGTTGTACGCCTTTGTAAAAAGTTCTCCAACATCGTATTGGCTTATTCGTTTGCCAGGATTGTTGACCATGTGTAGCACACATTCTTAATATATGCCATCTTCAGTGAACTGAAGATTGTAAGATCTAGTGGCTGCACTTTGTGAGATACATGGGGTGGCAAGGAAAGAACTTGCAGGTTATATTGTTACTTTCGTGATTGTGAAGTATTATTAATACTGGTTTTTTGGTAGGTTTCACAAAAGAAATTAAGTGTCGCAAGTAGTCAACAAATATGGACTCATTTATTCGATCAGAAATCGTGGCAATCATGCCGCTGCTACAGCCTTTAAGTAACAGTTCGTTTATTCTTTTTCTTTTGAAAATAAACATGGGTTGTATGTACCACCATATATGTCACTATCGCTGACAGCACAAACCAATGCTATTGTTTTTCCGTTTTTTACCGCGTTCTCTGCTTGTAGCTTCTGCTATTTGCTTTAAACCTTTTGGAGTCAAAATTTTGTAATTTTTTTGAACTGTGCTACTGCCGGTTTCATCAATATTAAATATACGATGACCATGTATATTGTATTTTGTTTGGATCGTTTTTAATTGATCAAAAACAGATTTATTATGGTGGCGTTATAAGTTGTAAAATCTATTAATCGAAGTAGCTTTTGGAATCCATAAACTAAGCGGAAAAATGGAAAAATTCTAGAAATAAAGCCATAGTACCAATCATTGCCTGCCACTGCCAGCTGGGTTTCTTTGTTAAAATTGTGTTTCAGTGTGTTAGCTTTAGCAAGTCGAAAGGCAATTCTACGTAATGAACTTGGTGTTATACCATAAAAATACTTGCAGCAATTAAGTATGTATTTTTCCTCATATCTTCTTGTTCTTTATTAACAGGTTTCGGGACAATTGACTATTTGCAAATGTCATGATAATTTGACAGTTAAAAATCGTATACTACATATAATTTTTTGATACGACAAATAGGGCCACAGACGTTGACGCCTATGGGCGAAACACCATACCGTGACTAACAATGAGTAATGAATGACAGTGCGACTACAGACGGTACCGTCTATAGACGGTCTGCCATATTACATACATTTGAAAAAGTTCGTTTTGACGGAACGCCGTAAGGCGCTAGCATTTAGAGCGGTCTGTCATATTATGTTAATATTTAATGTATTATATGGTAATATCGGCGTTGGGCGAGGCCGCCTTTAAACTTTTTGCCATTCTTTGTAGACCGGTTGATAGGCTAAGGGCACCGCCTAGAGGAGGTCTGTCATAAAATAGTTATTTCTAAAATTGTTATATTACAGTTACGGCCGCTGACGTTATTGCCTTTCGGTCTACTTAGGTTTTTTTATAATGTCAGCTACACTAAACAAGTAAGAAAATCACAGCTAAATCAAACTTGTACTTAAAATGTCTTTGACAGCAATCAGTCTTAATTTTACTTATATCTTTAATTGAGATGCTTTTAATAATATTAAGGTAACTTAACCCTTTCGCTGTCCCGTTCGCGCTCCAGGCGGCGACATTCAACATGTGAAAAATAACTTTTTGCACCTCCACCTTATCGTCTTCCGAAGACAAAAATAGTAACTGATCATTTGATCAGCACGATCAATATCTGGCAAGAAGCTGTTGTACCGTCCTATTTCTTTAAGTTATTTGCACTTTTGCCCACGTTTGTTGGTAACTTTAATCATCTCAGGTTAATCCAAAGTTGTCAACATCAAAGCTTACCGTTTACCTCTCCAATAACTCAAGTGGTTTACGTAGCCAAAAATGTTCACCTTTCTTCAACTTCTTTTTGTGCTAGAAGTGTTGGGCTGCCCTTTCGATTACTTGTCAAGGTGCCACACGTATGCGTTTACAGGTCAAGAAGTTTCTCGGAGAGAGTCACGGAGTTATAAAAAATATCCATGTATAATTCATGGCCTTTAAGCAGATAAGGTCTCATTAAACGTAAGACAAGTTTTTCAAAGTTCTTTCCATTTGTTTTGTATTCATCAACGTCTGCTTTACCAGAATACATTTTTTGGTTCAAAACATATGCGTCGTGAGAAGTTAATACATAAAACTAAATTCTGTACTTGGTCTTCTTCTAATGCATATACATATGTGCGAATAATAAATCGACCTCTTAAATCATTATAGATTTATCAAGCGATAGCTGCTTATCAAGATAATAGACTTGCGAGTAAGTATTTCAATGAATCTATTTATTTTATTTTCAGGCATACGAATTTGTCCGGAAAGCAGAGAAAGACCAAGAAATTTATACATCTTCGCTACATTTGTCTCATAAAAAACTTCTCATGAAAAGCGGCCGGTTTGAGTTTATTAATGAGTTGCTGTATACATTTGAGCAATTCACTAAATACTCAACGAGGTCTGGCGTTAACAGTAAATCGAAAACATCTTTTTCAGTTGTGAAATCTTTTTCAGTTGCGTTCAGATGGAAAAAGGAATATTAAAAAAAAAACAACTTGAAAATTATTTTTTTTTTAGGATAAGGGTGACAAACGGGCACACAGTCCGCCTGATGGTAAGTGGTTGATGCGGCCCATAGACATCTACATCTATCCTCTATTACAAATCAAAATGTAGATGCGTTGTCACCGGTGAGGACTAAGATGGAATGCCTCATTTCCAGTAAAGGGGGCCTCCGGCCACCTGCACTCACCAAGCGAAACGCAGAGGTAAACCTCTACTTCACGCTGGTTTTCTGTGAGTCGTGGTACCACCCCGGTTCGAGCCGGCCCATCCGTGCGACAGCAAAAGCTGCCGCGTGGCTCTACCACTGTTAAAAATAAATTTGTTTTATTTTATTTACTAAACATTAAAAATGGCGTGTTATATATAATCTCCTAAATAACAGTCATTCTTTGTTGGATAATTGTGTATTTCTTATGTTTTGTCGAGTAGTTGTTGTATAACCAATATTATCTATTTCTTCAACAATGCCATGAGATCTACAAATATTATATAAAACTGAAGTTGCTACAATTACATGGCATGTTGTTGTCAGATTTGTTGCCAACTTTTTTGATAAGTAAGGAAAAATTCTGTTCCAGACACCTATTTTTCTTTCTACAGTGTTTCTTGTTTTTATATGGGTCTTATTATATTTTTCTTCTGAAACTGTTTCAGGTTATAGAACTGGTGTCAGTAAATATTTTTGACAACCATATCCACTATCTTTCAAAAGTATACTATCAATGCTACATTGTTCCATCTTTCTTTTTAACGTGAAAGCTTGGAAAATTCGGTTCTCATGTACTGAACCAGGTCGATCAACGGCCATGCCTATATTTGTAGGTCAGACCCACATACAATCTGTACATTTATTGAAACATATTTTTTACAGTTCCCGAATACTTCCGCATAAGAACCGCCAGGATTTTGAATTGGTATATGAGTTCCATCAATGGCACCGATAATACCAGGAAAGCTTCCTATGCTGTGAAATTGTTCTTTGATTGTCTCAAGATTGCTAGAAAACTTCACAAATCGCTGCATCTTTAGACAAAACAGATATGAAACTCTTCTCGCTATCCTTGAGACAGTTAGTTCAGCTTACTTTTATGAGATCTCTTGTAATAATCTAGAAAAAAAAATGATGGTTTTAGTACTTACTAACTTAACATAATGATTTATATAATTACCATGAAAATACACGATGATGAAAAGTTTAATTACATAAAGAACTACCTATAAGTATATCTACTTTTTAATGTTAATTTTAAGAGGAATTATATCCATTGTTATTATTGGTAGGTACCTATGCATAAATATTATTACAATAATGTGCATTTGAAACTATTTATAGGTAGATTAACACTACGGTACACGCGCCTCAAAAAGGTTCATGAGTGCTCGCGTGGGCTACCCTTGTAGCCCATTTAAAATTGAAATATAATGAAAGATAACGGTTTTATTTTAAAATAAAACACATTTTTTGTTATTAATGACATTGATTAAGTATACTGAAATAAAAAAATTATCTTCTCTTTCTTAAAC